AGTTCTCTGCACAGGACTAAGCACAGGACCACCCACAGCACGTCACTCACAACATCTCCCCGTCCCCCCGCGACGGAGCCAACACTCAGGTCATCTTCAGCTGTTATGCCCCATGACGGAGCCGTAGGTGACAACGTGGCCTGGCCCGGCGACGCAGAGGACAGCGAGGGGATTTCACCCCCACATCCTCCCCTTCAGGACTTGCCCTGCACAGCCAAGGACACCCTGGTCAGGCCCGGAGGGTCAGAGCACGCAAGCCATGGAGCAGCACATCCGGGAGGGAAAGGCAGCCTGGGGCGAAGGCCATGAATGAAGGCCCAGGCGACCAGCTCCTCCTGATGCTGCCGCTGGGAGGGCGCGGGCGGGAGTGCTCTGACCGCTGTGCTGCGAGGGGGCGGCCGGGAGGGGAGTCCTGGGCCTGGAGAGCCGGTGACTTCCACCTCTAGGACGATGGTGCGGCTCGGCCGGCATCCCCCTTTTTGTCGATTGCTTTTGAGTCTGGGGTCCCAGGGCAGAGGTAGGGGCACAGCTGGCCGCACCCAGGGTGATGATGCCGGGAAATAACTGCTGTGTCTTCCATGTTGGGCAAAACGGCTTCACTGGCCTGGTAGCCTGTGATGGACGGGACATTGAGTCTTTGGCTCCGGGGGCCTGTCCTCTGCCAGGCCCCGGCGGCTGTGCAGGAGCAGCACGAGGGGAAGGAAACCTGGTGGACTTGGGTGGGAGGTGGCTCCTGCAGGCCGGCTGCCCTGGGATTTCCCAGAAGGCTGGGCGACAGCGAGAGAGCCAAGCCAGGGATGGGCTCAGCCAGGGCCCCCGTTCCTGCAGGCACTTGGCACAAGGGACGGCGCTGTGCATCTGCCAGGCACCACCCAGAACCGGGGGCCTGGATGAACCGGGGGCCAGCTCAGAGCTGCTGGCAGTCAGGGGGCGACCCTGGGGGTCCCGGGGTGGCTGGAAGGGCAGAGGCTCGAGGAGGGAGCTGGAACCCTCTCAAGGCGCTCTTCCGATGGGCACACAGGGGCTGCCTGGGCTGCGGGCCATTGGCATCAGCCAACTGAAGTGCCGATTCCGGAGGCCAGCCCAGGCCTGGGTCGCCGGAGGTTCCCCACCCATGCCTACTGAAGCCCCTCCAGAGGTCCGAGGACTCTCTTGGGGGAGGGGGTAGATGGGAGAGCCAGCCTGGGCCCCTGGCAGTGCACACTGCAGGGTGGTGGTCCCGACACCTGCCCTCCTCTGCCCCGGGGGCTGGCGGGACACCAAGACGGAGGGAAGCTGGGGACTGGCCTCAGGGGCTGGGGTCCACCCCCTCCCGCCTTCCCCCTGCACAGCCTCCACCCAGCCCCTGCCCGCTTGAGTGGAATTCGCTGTAACTTCAGAAGGGAGAAGCACAGCAACGAACACCCGGAGCAGCCGCCTGAGACGCGGAGAGGGGGGAAGGCGATGGGTCACCCGGGCCGGCAAGGACACGCGCTACCTCCCCTCGGCATCCCCACCGCCCACCGCTTCCCTGGCCTCGGTCCAGGCACCGCGGGCCTCCAGCCCTCCCACCGTCCACCACATGCCTTTGCAGTCAGTCAGTCTCAGAACCAGAACCTTTTCCAGACCCACGAGGAGACCCGGATGAGGGCTCCCCAAGGGTGTGCATGGAAGGAGGGCCCGGAGAAGGAAGGGCTTGCACCCCAGGGCTGAGATCCAAGGGGGGCGGGGGGAGGAGGAGGCTCACCCAGGCCTGAGCCCTCGGACCCACGCACAGCAGGCCCAGTCCCGGCCTGGCTTTTGATGACGGAGCTGCCCGGACTAGAGAGACCCCAGGAAAAGATGAGCGATGGTTCCCACTGCCCCTCCCCTTCCAGCGCCCCGCCCCATGGCTGCCCCTGCCACCTGCACAACCCTGACATTTCCAGTCTGAGCAACCACGTGCAGGGGTTGCCCAACTGGGGCCCCGATGGCGGCCCTGGCTCCCTCCTGAGGATAAAGCACTTGGCAAGGGAGCTGCAGGCAGGCAGGCAGGGGTGGCCCGCCCCAGGCGCGGCACGGGTACTCGGACCCTGCCCAGCCCGTGTCACCACGTGCTCTGATGTCTGGGGCCGGGCGGCCGTGGACGGTCCCTCCCCCTTCGGTGCCAGCCGCTGTGCTTGCCGGTGCAGAGAGTCTGAGAGGCCCGAGCTCTGGTTCCCGGGGGTGGGGGGCACGGGCCGGGTGGGGTGGCGGGCGGGAGGCCAGGCCGGGGCTCAGTAGAGGCCACAGCCCCGCAGGTTTTTGGCGATGATGACGTCCGTCACGGCGTCAAAGACAAACTGGATGTTGTTGGTGTCGGTGGCGCAGGTGATGTGGGTGTAGATCTCCTTGTGGGCTGACTTGTTCTTGCTCTCGTACTGGGCCTGGATGTAGGCCACGGCTTCCGTGAAGGCGCTGGGGCCTGCGGGAGAAGGCGGGAGGAAGGGGGACAGGTGAGGCGAGGCCACCACCCGGGCCTCCTGGTGACAACAGGAGCAGAAACCCGACGGGGTGAGGGAAATGCAACCGCTCAGCTGCAGACCCTGCAGGCGGGTCCTCTCTGTCTGTGACCCCCCAGCGCCGGCCCCGGTGGGTAGAAACTGTGGTGCCTGTGAGCCACCTTGGCCTCCTTCTCCTCACCCTCGCCTCTCTCAGGCTCACCATCCGGCCCCCGACTTGCTACCTCCCTTGGGGTGTGCACATCTCTCTGCTCCTGGGGGAGCCCAGGCGGAGGGTTCCAGGAGACCAGCCGCTGTTTGGGGGGGAGAACTGGGAGCTTTGCATGGAAGCCCCCCCAGGCTCCAGGAACTGGGGCCCAGGCACGGGCATGGCTGCCAGGACCCTCGGAGGGAGGGCAGGAAGGGGGGCCTGCCCCCGCTGCCTCTCAGGCCACAGCGGAGGTCAGCCATGGCAGGATCCCTGCACTCCCCCCAACTTATAGCTAAGAGGGGGCTGGCTGGGGGTGTGGGGCTGCTGAGTCCCACCCACTTCTGGCTGCACGCGGCTGGGGGCCTGGATGCGGGGCAGTTGGCTTGATCTTGAGGCAGGGGAGGTAGGCCGGGGGCCTGGTCAGGCTGGGGATGCGCACTCACCTCTCTGACCAGGCCCTGGCCATCAGGGAGAGCTGGTGGGCACCTGGGCTGCTCCGGCCACCCGACAGTTAGGTAAACCCATGGCAACATCCTCATCATAGCACCCTCCCCATGGAGGCCCGGTCTCTGCCGCCTGTGCAGCGCCCTCACCTCCAATAGGCCATTAGGGTTTCGTAACCACCGTGTGGGGGGTGTTGTGACCGCTGTTAGTTAGGACCACCATGGTCACAGGAAGAGCAGATGTTTGGTGAGCACTGGCTGTGTGCAGCGGCCAGGCCGAGCGCTCCATGTTCACCAGCTCACGTGGCGCTCCCAGCCGCTCTGCGAGGGAGGGCTGCACAATCACTGTGCTCATCCCCATCGCACAGGCGTGAACACTGAGGCCCCGAGAGGTTCTATAACCTGCTGCGAGTGGCAGAGCCGGGGGCAGGACGCTTGGGCTGCTGGGCTCAGCCCCGTGGCAACCCCCTCATCATGTTGGTGTTGCCCCCTCACTGACCATCTCTGTTTACAGACGACCAAGCCGAGGCTGAGCTCACACAGCCAGGACTCTGGCCCTGCCTCCCCTGACCAGGCTGCTCCACCCCCCACCGCCCCCCGCCTCACTACAGCACATGGGGGGGGGGGTGCAGGGGGCTGCCTTTGGTTTTGTGTTGGCTTCTCCGTGGTTGAGTCCGGCGCACCCTCAGGGCACACACGGGGAGGCTGAGCTCCGGATGGGGGCCTGCTCCCCCGGCGCCCGGCGGCCAGGCTCCTGCGTCCCTACCTGTGTATTCAGGGAAGCAGATGGTCAGCGGGGACTTCTTGATCTTCTCCTCGAACAGGTCCTTCTTGTTGAGAAACAGGATGATGGACGTGTCCGTGAACCACTTGTTGTTGCAGATGCTGTCGAAGAGCTTCAGGGACTCATGCATGCGGTTCTGCAACAGAGCGGAGAGGCGGGTGAGCGCCGGTGCGCGGGCCGACCCACCGCGGCCACCACGAGGAAATGTCCGCCGACGTGGCGGGACGCACCACGAGGGACGGAGA